TGAACCACTGATGTCACATGGATTATTTTACCGATGTCCTTGCTACGTTTCTGGACTTGATTGTGTAAGGACCCTTACTGTCTATGGGAGGGTCAGAGAGCTCTCGGGATGCATCAAAAATATCTTAATTTGTGTTCTGAAGATAAGGAGGTCTTATGGGTTTGGAACAAAATGAGGGTGAGTAATTAATGACAGAATTTTCATTTTTGAGTGAACTAACCCTTTTTGTGCACAAAAAGTATTCTCGTAGATTCGTAAAATTACGGTTGAACCACTGATGTCACATGGATTATTTTACCGATGTCCTTGCTACGTTTCTGGACTTGATTGTGTAAGGACCCTTACTGTCTATGGGAGGGTCAGAGAGCTCTCGGGATGCATCAAAAATATCTTAATGTGTTCTGAAGATGAACGGAGGTCTTATGGGTTTGGAACAAAATGAGGGTGAGTAATTAATGACAGAATTTTCATTTTTGAGTGAACTAACCCTTTAAAATTGATATATTTTCAGTGGTCAAAAACCAAATATGGGTCAAGTTGCAAAAATATGATACTTTTTCTCTTTTAAAGAGGAATGTCTGAAGAACAAATAATGTTGAAACTAGAGTTGTATTTCGTTTACTTCTGTCAAAACAACTGCATTGAACATACCTGTCTGAGTGCCATAATATTATTTTTCCAAAGTTTGCATGCCTGTAACTGTAAATGAATGAATGAATGATGCATTTATATAGCGCTTTATTGTGTATTGTTGTACACCCAAAGCGCTTTACAATCACATGGGGGGGTCTCTCCTCAACCACCACCAGTGTGCAGCACCCACTTGGATGATGCGACGGCAGCCACAGGACAACGGCGCCAGTGCGCTCACCACACACCAGCTACAGGGTGGAGAGGAGAGAGAGTCATAGAGACCTTAAATGTTTGAGGTACTATCAGTGATTCTGCCAAATATGCTCTTTAGCACTGTCACTATGCTCACATTATATAACAATAAAGTCGTGGCCTAATGGTTAGAGAGTCGGACTCGTAACCCAAAGGTTGCGGGTTCGAGTCTCGTACCGGCAGGGATTGTAGGTGGAGGGAGTGAATGTAAAGTGCTCTCTTCCACCTTCAATACCACGACTGAGGTGCCCTTGAGCAAGGCACCGAACCCCCAACTGCTCCCCGGGCGCCGCAGCAAAAAAATGGCTGCCCACTGCTCCGGGTGTGTGTTCACGGTGTGTGTGTGTTCACTGCTGTGTGTGTGCACTTTGGATGGGATAAATGCAGAGCACTAATTCCTAGTATGGGTCACCATACTTGGCCACATGTCACTTCACTTCACTTCACTTCAATAAAAAAGAAAAAAAAAATCTAATAATTAATCCAGGTTAGGCAAATCTTGGTTTATGCAATGTGTGGTGAAAGCAACCACTTTTCCCCATGAGGTGTGGGATTTGATTCAAACATGTTACAATACTTTGTGTTTGAACTCTTGGTAGCATCAGAACAACAGCTGTTAAAATTAACAAAATCCCTTCTTTCAAATATCCCTGAAACTGATTCAAATATAGAAAGAATCTTATGAATAGACTACTGAAAGAAAGGTAATGTCCCTAAACTTGACCATGTCCATGTTTAACGCTTCTCATAGCTATGTGAAAATAAGTGTATAATTGTAACAGTTCATTTTTGGAGCTGAGCTGAATGAGCGAGAGAGAGAGAGAGAGAGAGATGCAGAGCAGAGGAACAGTATTAAGAACTGCTGCTTTATAACATTGATTTTGAAACTTGTGAATCCATTAGAATCGTTAGAAGACAGAATTGCGATTCATATATGAATAGATTTTTACGTGCACCTCTAGTTTTCTCTTCCTCTTCTCTAAAGCAGCGCAGGCCTCGCCCCCTTTGCTGCCTTTTCCCGAGGG